CATTGGCAACGAATTGCCCCTCCACCGTCTGCGCCCAAAGCGCTCTCACCAAGGGCCCGTCTCCTCTTCGACGGAAATGCCCCCACCCCCCGGCGCCCTTTGGCATCAACACGCGCCGTACTTTCAGCTCTCTCGAGGCGCGAGACGAACGCCTTGCGAAGCGTCAGATCTCCAAGTCGGCCATCTCGAACCCGGTACCCGCGGATGTTTCTTCACGCATGAGCATCGACTCCGGTGCCCCATCCTTTGCCTCGTCGAGTGATGGGCATGGAGGCGGCTCCTTCGCAGAAGCTATGCGCTGGTCCCGGCCATCATCACGCTCGGAGGATACTGCTGCCGCTGCTGGACTGCGTATCCGCCCGGACGCGAACCGGGGGATCCCCGTCGTCCCGCGCATCCCCGATCAGTTTAAGTCGCGGCCTGGGAGCGCTTTTGGTGAGGGTGCTGAAAACAGGATCCCGCAACCCATCCAGGGACGCCGACGCTGGTAGAACTAGCCTGTCCCGAGCGGTGCAGCCCGTGGTGTGTTTGCGGGCACGATGCACACATGACCTTTCTGACACATGACGACACATGACACGTTCACGCACTTGGTCACGAAGAAAACAACCATGGAACAACGGATACGAACACACGAATTGTATGATAAACCTTCCATTTCTTTCCCCTCTCGGTTGGGCTTTTAGGGCGGCACGGCATTTGGAAAAAGGAGCGGAGTTTTTCGGACCGGACAGGGCTGCGGTGTGGGAGGCTGCGCGGGCCAGCCTTGTTTCTCACGCATCGATTCTTGAGCATGAATGGAATGGCTCTCGGTACCTGTTTGGTGTATTCTTTTTTTTTTCTTTCTCTTTTCTTCTCCTTTTCGCCTGAGTAAAGAAAGGAACGGGTATCTCTGGCCGAGGCATCTTTCCTGGCCTCGGTTGTCGGAACCCTCTGTATGAATGATGAAAACGTTTTATGGCTGCCTCGTGTTTGTGTGGTGGTGAGTCCTGTGCTTCTACCACTGTGCCTTGAATTTCTTGAGGTCGAGGCCGCGACTCAGATGGGTTTGCTCGCTTTCGCACGCAGTGTCCAGGTGTGACCTGACCTGAACGTCCGCCCTGTCCCCAATGATACGGCGTTGGGAATGGGAATGCGCCCCATGCGAAGACGCTTCGGTCAAGCCCGTGGCGTCTGGGTCAACGGCAGGCCAGCCATGTCTTCATACCCTGACGACGGCAAGCCACCCCAGACGCTTTGCTTTCGACCGGGTCAATGCACGGTACTTATTGACCGCGGCAGGGACTCGCCGCTTCCTGACCGACTGTGTCTTTCCGGCTTCGTGTCGAAGACTTTTGGCCCGATCCCTGTGCGGGTGTCCGACTCTCCAGCTCTGCGGGTGTTGAGGCCCTGGACCGTGGTAGTTCCGTGGGGGACTCGACGGTGGACATCACAGCAAACCGAGACAAAAGTCATATACGGGGCACGTCTTCCATCACCAAAATCATGTTTCATTGAAATCTGGTCCCGCAATATCAAAAGTCGCTTGGTGTCTCCCTCCTCTTGACACGCAGAGCGACGAGGAGAGAAGAAAAGGAATTTAGAAGAAGGACACAAAACGGCAAGAGAGACAATATAATATGTACTCCGACATGGAAGAGCACCCTGATCGTCAAGTACACCTCGATAAGAAGTCGCCCCCGGCGCTACTTGTAACCCCAATCCCAACCCTGTTTCCGCGCACGTGTAGAAAGGATGATAGTTTAAAAAATAAAGAGGGGGAGAGGGAGAGGGAGAGGGGAAAGGAACCCTCATCCCCATGACGTCGCCTTCCCTCGACCGTCCGTTGCTGCCAGGCTTGACCACAGGGTCCCTGCGCGACACCCAACCGGGGAGCCAGGAAAGGTTCATGGAACGAGGAGATAAAAGGGTGACCCGACAAGACGGAAGAATGAAGAGAGAAGCGATGGACTGTCAGAATAAAACGTTGAGCCTGCGAAGACGCCTAGCAAGTGTTTGGTGCTGGTTGTTGTTACACCAGTGTAGTCAAAAGAGAATGTCGTGCAGAACGATGCCCAGCTGGACTGTTGGGCCAGCGGACGGTCGGAGAGGTATATGTAGCAAATGGTCGTTAAAAAAGATTTCATGCCGTCAAACTCGATCTATCAGAGCACCTCAACGACGCGGTCCCGGAGGGTGCGGGCGGCCTCAGGGACCTGCTGCGCGGGCACCGAACGAATCATGGACCACGCCGTGGCAAAATGTTCGGGGAAGCGGATGTACAGCATGGAAGCCAGCAGCACTGTCAGAAGCGGAATCTGATACCTGTTAGCGTTCCTCCCTTGTTGTGTTGGTTCAGCATCATTACATACCCAGATAAACCAGAGGTTCTTATCGCTGCGGATGCCCTTAAATTTGGCGGCATGTGCCCGCAGGAAGTCCTGCTGTTGCTCCTTCGTCATGGCCTTCTTCCTGCCAATCATGAGTGCCTTGGGGACAGGCGCCTCGCTTGTGGCGGCCTCGCTCGTCTCCTCGATGGCCTCAACGGTCGCCGTGTCGTACAGCTTGGCACATTTCGCGTCAGCTTCCGCCTCGGCAGCAGCCCCCGCAGCGGAGGCCTGCTTCTTGTCAAGGGCGTCTTGCGGGTACAGTTCTGTGTAGGCAGGCGGGGAGGCCGCGTTGTTGTTGTTGTTCAGAAGCGACGAGAAGTCCCACCATTTGCCATCCATGGCCTTTGGCGTTTCGTCACCAGCTGATCCAGGCCGAGAGCCCGACATGCCCTCCATGAAGGATGTCATCCGACCCATGAGCGGGTGCTGGTGCAGGTACTGTTGGTAGTCTGGCAGCATGGACATTCGTGGGAAGTTGGGCATTTGAGGCAGGTTTGGCATCTGCGACATGTTGGGGAAGTGCATAGCCATCGCCTGCTGGAATTGGTGAAGCTGCGCCGATACTTGATCTCGCACCGCTGCTGCCAGGGCCGTGGTCGGTGAGCCCGGCACTCGTTGCAGCTCATCTCGTTCTTCTGACAAACTGTCTCTCTCGGTCGGTGCTCCGTATGCGTGTGTGCTTGATCGGCGCATATTCAGCCAATTATCCTCAGCCTCGTCTTCCGATTCAAAATCACCAGAGGAATACTCCGGGCTCTCCTCTCCATCACCAGGGCCGTCAGACTCTTCCGACACAGCGTGGGGATCCCAGAGAGATCGCAAAGAGGCGGCACTGCTGGCTCGGCTGTGCAGAGAACCTCCACTACGAGAACGAACGTGTCGCTCGCAACGGCGGATGTGTTCGATGACCTTGCGCGAGCGAGCGACATCAGCGGGCCGAAGCCCAGACAAGCTCCTGATCGTGGGGTCTGCGCCAGCCTGCATCAGTCGCCGGACAATGGC